AAGCCACTAGTTAGCTATAGAAGACAGGCAGTGGTGGCCACATCTATAATCTCAGCACTCAGGAGACAGTAGCAGATGGATCTCTGTGAGTTCAAGGCCACCCTGGACTACATGAGAGTGAATCAGTCTAAAAGAGAAACAGAGCTCACACCTTTGATCTCAGCACTTGGGGTGAAACACCTTTAATCCCAGCACTAGAGAGGGATATAAGGCAGGAGCTCAGTGCAGTCTCATGGCAGTCTGAGGTTTGGTGGAGAGCCTGTAATCACACTGAGAACAGGATTGCCCCCTTTGGTCGGAGCCTGGCTGCTTTGCTTTTCTGATCTTCAGCTTGAACTCCATTATCTATGTCTGGGTTTTATTATTTGTGCTACATCTGAATGCCATCTTTCCTTCCAGGCTGTGATAAGTGACACTGGGTAGATTTTTAACAAGACTGTCAGATGCAGGTATTGCATAATTGAGTCACCCAAACTGTAACAGTATCATACTGTCTAGAAACCCTGTCCCTCATCTGCCTCCCACCCTGGGTCACCTGCCTGAAATAGCCTCTGTCCCAGATCCTCTTCTAAGACACCTCTCATGGTGATGCAGATGATGAGGATTCAGAGACTCCAGGCTCAGCTCCCAAAAGCCCTGACTGCACTCACTCCCTCCCAGAATACAAAGACAACGCGCTAGTGGAGATCACCCACTGTTCCAGGGTACCAGAAAGGTGAATAAGGTGAATTCTGATGGTGATACCCATCCTGCTGTGTGCAGGCCATGTCCCTTGTCCTGCTGGCATCCTCTCTGAACACTTTACCACTGCAACCCACCAGACTGCCTCTGTTTGTGGGAGTCTTGGTACACAGGGCTATGTTCCTGTGACGGGCCAGGAGTTCTCTTTAAATGAGACATGGGCATGAGAACTCCTCCTACTGTCCCTGGTGAGTCAGCTCTTTTTACCTTCCCTCTCCAGGCAGGTAGATTTGGTCTGAGGACAGGCCAAGGACATTTACTGTCATGCAAGGGCCTGCCATCTGGGTGTCTTGCTGCTGTGTTCTTGCTATGGTCTAGATAGGTGTGCTTAAAAGTCCATGTGTCAAAGGCTTGTTTCCCAATGAGTGCTGTTGGGGGGTTCGCTATGCATCTGTAGGAGGGGTCCTTGTGAGAGGAGGAGCCATTAAGTCATTGGGCAGGTTTTAAAGGGGATGGTGGGCCTCTGGTCCTTCTTCCTGGTGTGATCTATACTGTTTGCTCTTCCATGTGTTCCCCAACATGTCTGTTGATGCTGTCTGGTTACCCCCTACCAAGAACCCAAAGCCACAGTCTCCTGGTGCTAGATCAGATCCTGCAAACCACACATCAAACCAAGCCTTTTCTCTCTGAGTCAGTGTGTTACAAGTCACTGTCCTGTTAGAACAGCCATGGGGACTGATTCACAGGCCTAACTGTAGTGTTGTGCCCCACCCCCCACCTCAAGGGTCCATGGCTGGTTGTGGTTGGAGTTTGAATTGTGGGGAGAGGAATGCAGTATCACAGTTGTGTTTATTTATGCAGAATCTAATCATGGAGACGAGGTTTAAAAGTAATGTTGATGCTCTGAGCACCCACATCAGTACTGGGTGAGTAGCCAACCAGGGGCCCATGGTCCCAGATGACCCACTGGGACACCCCAGGATGGAGGTAATCCAGTGCATGTCTGGGCCTTGGTGAATGGAAAGAATGTGGTGTGCATCCGTGGGAGGCTTGGACAGGAATCCCACAGCAGTGGGAATTGGCTGACTGGGTGCTAACTCCATTTAAGCTCTGTGTCTGGGATCACAGGAGCCAACCCAAAGGGGCATGAGATAAAGAATGGTCCTCACTATAGCTTCACTGGCCACTGTGAAAACATCGGATACTAGTGTGGCCCCAGGGATTTGCCTTTCTCACATGCCTGGATCTCAGGACCTTCCTGCTCCATCCATCCTTCTGGCTAACTAAAGCACACGGGGCACCACACATTTGTCTCAGATGCCATTTCACTTGGTTTCTCTGTCTTCTACCCCAGAAGCCTCACTGGGTCCAGCCTCTGCCTAAGCCATGTGTCCAGTGTTCCTCCTGTCTCTTTTCTCCCTAGCTTCTGTCCCCACCTTACTGGGCACATCCTGTGCTTCCGATGCAGAGCTGGGCTGCAGTTTTTGGTTCCAGTTGTAATAGTAACATGTGACATTTTTGGTGTATAGTAAATCACACAGACCTCACAGAGGAGAAAGTATGATGGGGGATACCCTGGGGGTTGTGGTCCTTGCAGAGAGCTCTGCTGATCTCAGAGCCTATCCAGAAACACTGAGAGTCAGAGGACAGGTAGGTAGGACTTGAAAGACTGCCCCACTGTTAGGGACACCTCTGCCAGGCACTACTAAGAGATGCCTGGGACTACCTGCTCCTGCAGAAGGATCCATCCACAGGTCCCCAGCCAGGGCTGCTCCCAGACCCACACCCCTGACAGCCTCATTGCATCTTCTAGCTGACTTTTCTTTGAAGATGGAGCCAAAGTCTCCATTGTTTCTCCATGTTTCAGTCTCATCTGACTGTTTCAGGCCACTGGAATGTGTATCCCATCTCATCTTCTTTCTGGTAGCTTCAGGGGCCTCTCAGTTGCTCAGAGCCCCTGCAGAGGTGAGTCATTCCTAGATCTGAGAGGTGTTCTTGATCTGCCTAGGCAGCGCCAATACCTCAGCAGGCGGATGTGAGATTGTCTGGCTGTGGAGTGACCCATGGGAGACACAGCAATCACTGCTGGTCTCCAGGCATGCAGAGCCTCTGTAGCTAGACTCACTGCAGAGGTGATTAAAGTTATCACAGCATCTCTGTGTGGTGAGGATAGAAACTCATGAAATACTTAGCAGTGTGGGGAGGCCAGGGAGAGGGGTGGGGTGTGTCTCATTCTCCCTTTGTGAAGAGCACACACAGAGATACATGCACTACACACACACTCCATGACTCCGACGATCGCCCACTCACAACTCACACAGTAATACTACAAGCATGTGCACACTCACAGTAATGTGCACACTCACAGCACACCACCTACATGCTGGCCATGTGCATTCTCATGAAAGAAGGAAGGGTTATGACAAAGGGAGCCTGCAAAGCTAGCAGAGACAAGTTTCACAGTCTAAGGGAGGTTGGTTAGGAAGTGGGAGCTCTAAGAAGCAGGTATGCTATAAATCACTACAGACATACTGGAGTTGGCTGCAGTATTGGTCCAAGTGGACTCATGACTCTAAATCAATGTTGAAGCACAGCAAAGTTCAATATTTAATGCTGAATTTCTTTGGTTGGATGAAGAGGTGTCTCTGATCTCCCAGAGGCACCATGGAAGAAAAGATGTGACAGGCAGGCCCAGAGGAGCAGCCTGGATGGTGTCCCAGACTCTCCCGCACTGTTCTTCCCTGTTAAGACTGAGAAACACACACGAATGCTATTGACCAGCCCGAACAAGGACAAACAATGTAAAACACTGTATTTTCCTCTGGATGGTCTGAATCTACAGTACACACACAGCATGGTTGGTTCTGCACACATCAGCTACGCAAGCAGGTAAAGAAGCCCGGTAGTGAAAAGAGCTGGAACAGCCTGGTGGTCCCTGGCTACCCATCTGGAGGATGGGTGCAGAACGCTGCTTTAAGGGATAGCATCACAGAGGAGCCTGTAAATGTCAGCTCTGCCTGTTAGTCTGCTTACTCAGATACTGAGTGTCTGCCTCTAGATGGCACTGCCCACCATGGGCTGCAGAATGTGCCGCCTCCAATGCTCTAGGAACGCAGCGGTGCCATGTTCTCTGAGAGGAGATTGTCAGCAAGGCTAAGCTCTGTGAAGCAAGTCACAGAGACTTGTTCACATCCGCAGGGGCCCAGTGCTCAGGGCTATGAAACGCACTCATTATTTGTGGGTGCATATGAACACCAGTATGTCTATATGTCGGTATTGCAGTATGTATGCATATGCGTAGTGGTGTGCAGATGTGTGCACATGCATGTTTGTGGTGAGCAGATGTGTGGGTGCACATGTCTGTGGTGTGCATGGTGTCACTGTAAATGTGTATAAGTATATGTGTTTACACATGTGCAGTGTACATATATGTGTGTGCATATATGGTATGTGTGTGTGTACATGTGTCTGCATATGAACCACAAATTGGAAAGAGAAAGATAGAATGGAAAGGTGGACAGTCTTATAGGTTGGCATCTCTAGACACATGGGCTCTCACCTCTGCGAGGACCTCTCCTAGGACTAGACATTTGCTTTTACAAAAGGCTCATTGTTGACATCTATTTTTCGAGGTGGGGCTTTGTACCTAAATGTTCATGAAGATGACAAAAAAAGGAAAAGAAGCTTTCACCTGTGATAACCATCACACCCCGGTTAGTCCCTCCCTGTGGGATAGAGAACTGGATTACTACATGCTCACATTGGAACAGAATCCTCTCTGATGGCAGCTGACTTTCAAATCCAGGTCTCCACTGAAAAGTGTGTCCGTGTCTTTCCAAAGCATAGGCTCAGAGAGACTGGAGCCAGCTCTGAGGACCACAGCCATTGGCTGCTTCCTCTCCCATAGTTCCACAGCAGGCCCATTCTTAGCACCCAAGATGCCCTCAGGCTAACAGGCCAGGGCCATGTCCCTTCTGGATGCAGGTGGTGAGCAGGCAGAGGGGCCAGGTGGCCCCCAGTGAAGATGCAGGTGTGAGGTGACAGGAGGATAGCAGGGGACGGGAAACTGCCCAGTGTGAGCATGCTCTAGAGGCCACTGCTGTGGTCCCTAGAGTAAAACCTAACACACATATACCAAAGGCAGGATCACCAGCTGGAGTCTTTGTGGAGGTCTCCCAGCTTCCCTCCTAGCGGCAAGGGAAGGCGCTATAAACAGAAAGCAGGTGACAAGCTTACGGAGAGTTACCTCCCGCCTTGGAACCAGTGGCGGTATATGTGGCTCAGTGTTCTCCAGATGGGTTCTTTCTCAATAAAAGAGATATGGCTGAGGGGCAAGAACCACTTCTGAGCCACTTGGTCATTTGATGACCCTCCCAGCCCATTCAACCTCACAGAGCAGAGTATCACTCTGTGCTCTGAAGCTCCTCCAGGGACAGGACACATGTTGGCACTGGTGAGGGAGTTGTGTTCCCAACCTGGTTACACTGTAGTTTCATTTTTCCAGGGTCCTGTTCGGATGTTCCCTGTCCCATCAGTGCCATATGGCAGGCCTTCTCGAACATCACTCTGGAGCAGCCCATTCTGGCTGGGACCCCCAAAAGGCAGGGACTGTGTCCTTCGTAGCATCTCCAAGTGGGCAGGGCCTGGGGACAGCCGTGGGGGACAGCCATAGAGCCCAGGGCTCATGTCTCCACCCTCAGGCTGGGTGACCATGGGGAAGGGATCGGCCTGGGCACAGCAGGCCAATGTATGCACCCCTACTGGTCCCTCAAGAGAGCTGGGAAGGCTGTCTGTGCGTGAGCTGTGGGGGCTGCCATCCAGGCTGGAGGGGATGTGGTAGGCATATTCCCTCTCAGCTGCAGCTGCCTGGTGCCGGCTGAAGTAGTGGGGCTTAGTTCTGCCCTTGAGACACCTGTGCAGGTGAGGGTCATGCAGGTGGGGATCATGTGGGAAGGCGTCCTCCTCAGCCATGTGCATGTGGGCCTCTTCCTCCATTAGTTGCTCACAGTGCATCTTGGCGCAGCAAGGGGTGGCAGGTGACAGACAGCTGACATGGCCCTGGGCAGCCTGCAGGTTGGTCATCTTGCAGTGGCTGGCTGGTGGATGGCCAAAGCCTCTGAGTTTTCCAGGGCATGGTGAGTCCTGCAGGCAGGCTGTATGGGCCAGTGCATCCCCATTGGCATCGAGTGTAGGGTGGGCACTGGGCTTGCTGGCGGAGGTATCTCCTCGAGAGGGGCAGCATGACCACCAGCACTGCCATACATCCTCCCGCTTGGCACAGTGATGGATAAGTACGAAGAGTCCCAGCGTCACACAGAAGGCGCCATACAGACAGCTGAAGATCATGTCCAGGAAGTGGCCCTGAGACACAGCCAGGGCCCCAAAGGTCCATGTGGCTGTGAACAGGAACAGCGTGAAGGCAGCGGCACGCAGCTGGGCTTTGAAGGAATGCTCATTCTGCAGCTGTGAAGCAGCCAGGGCATCACAGGTGGGTGGTGGTGTGCCAGGGCGTACCCCACGGCGATGGCCACTCTCAGACACTGCCAGCCGCTGCTGCTCCTCAGTGCGCTCTCTGAGTTCATACCTGCGCTCTGGGTGACGTCGCAGTTGTACATATGTGAAGAGGAAGTATACACAGGTGACCAGGGCAATGAAGGCAGCTGGCCCATAGAATGCACCCAAGCTGGGTTCCCAGGCCATCCAGCAGCTGCAGGGAGAAATAGGTAAGTGTGGGTATGTGGCTGGAGTAGCTTGCCTCCCACCTGCCCATCAGGACTGAATGGGATTTCCTACAAGGGAGTATTTTAATTGTGATAAGGATACTGGAGCCTGGTCAGACATGAAATTTGGGTTGATGTGGACAGAGGTGCAATCTAGATGAGTGTTTGGATCCAGATGGTTGGTTAACTCTATGTGTTAGTCTTCAGGAGGTGGGTGGGGGTGGGGCACAGGCAGGTCTGGGGTGGATGGGGCAAGGAGGTCCACTAGGGGGCAGGAAATTGTCCTGGGTAAGGAGAAGTGGGCAGAGACAGGTTCTGATGGGTGGGGCATGGGGTCCACTATGGCTTGAGTGAGGGCTGAACATCCTGGGATCCTGAGGAGATACTGAGAATGATGAAGGTTCCCACTAGGGCTTTGGGCACCTATGGGGGAGGAGGTGGGCCTGTATCTGTTCCAGGGGTATGCCATGCTTAGCTGACCTATCTGGTCCCAGACCATAAAAAAGGAAGGCCTTTGGTGTTTGAGGAAATAGAATGGTATGCTGAGGTGTTGGGAGAAGGGCTCTGCTCACACAGAGGCTGGGGAGACATGACCCCAAGTGGTTGTCTGAGGCCTGAGGCTTTCTGTTCATCTCAAGGGCTTGCCTTATTACAGGTGTCTTGGAGGACAGTCACCAACAAAGGTTGATTATCACATGTCTGTGGGAACTTTCTCTGCCCTCCCCAGACCCAGACACATACAAAGTCGGCAAATTCCTAAAGTGTCTGGGATGACCCAGGAGGAGCTAGCTGGGCGGTGCCTCCAACTTTTCACTGGCCCACAGGTAGGAAGTACTCACTATGCCACGTCTTCATCCTCGGTCCCATAATTTCTGATGTTTGTGGCAGCTGTGACCCCACAGATGATGAAAGGAACCCCTCCGCTGATGAGGTAGAACCTGCCAGAGATCAGAAGGCTGACTTCCCAGAAATGGCCCAAATCCTCCTAGAGAAATGAGACCATCCTCCCCCTCCCCTGATGCAAAAGGGAGAGGGATTCCAGGGCCATGCCACCCTTTAGTAGACAAGCACGTGTCCAGCGGGGCGCCTGCTCTGTTCCCACTTGGTTCTGGCTGTCAGGGGCTCATGGTGAATCTGCAGACTCAGTGGGACCTTGTGGAGCCTGGGCTGGGAGCAGGACTGATATGAAGAGGAACAGCCAGTATATCCATAGGGCAAGCAGGTTATGGAAGGCGTTGGGTGGGGCATCCCTATCCTAAAGTGGTATGCTGAGTGGTGGCCCAGTTGGATTCCCTTTCGGCCTGTATTTAGCCAGAGCCCAGCTCATACCCCTCCCTGTCAGCAGTGCCCAGTGATCAGTGGACCAGTGTATTATTAGACCTAGTTTTAGGGTGAGGAGCCTGGCTCACCTTTGAGCTATCTATCCCTGGAGGGACAGCTGATCACCCTGTGGTAGGAGCAGGCTGTGACGTGGACTGACCTCCCCTCCTCGGGTCTCAGATGGTAGTTCACTGAGGTTGATTCAGCCACTGGATACCTCCTATTTGAGTTCCTTGACACAGAGCATGTGTGTCCTATGCTTAGCCTGTGCACACACTGATTCTGACATCCCAGGCATGACTGTCAGCTTCCTACTGTGTGGAGCCATGTTGGGGCCACCTCAAGGCCAGCTCAGAGAGGATTTCCTTGAGAAAGTGGCTGCTATTACAGACACCCCGAGTGGACAGTATGGCACAAGTTTGAGAACAGCCTGGGCCACCTAGCAATTAAGCTCCAGGCAAGCTAGTGCTACATAGAGATGCCTTATCTGAAAAGAGGCAAAAACAAAAACCAAAACACAGGTGCAGCAGGGTTGCTCTCTCTCAAAAGAATAACAGAGTTTGTCCTTGGGTGAACTACATAGGAAGGAAGGTCCCATGATGTTCCTCAGGGTAGTGGCATGCTACGTTGAAGGGAGCTGGTCACCAGGAAGGAAGAATACAAGGGATGCAAGGAATACTAGGGTTAAGGAAACTAGATAAGATTTGCTTTCTCTTTAATTTCTTCAGAATACAGATGAGTATCAAAACAGAGAAGTTGGACACTTTGTGAGTTCATGAATAATACAGAGGGTGATACATGTAGCATTTGTGACATAAAAGATGAGGTGGTCATGAGTTATAAGATATCTCTGGATGTTTTATGTGATGTAGCACAACTTTATTTTACTTAGCTTGTGAACAGGCTGGGCATTTTAATCTCTAAGGAGGCTGCAAGACCACTAACAGGGTAAAGCTAATATATTGAATTTGAGATAAAAACATTATAACAACACAAAAGTAGGAAGAAAGGGAGGAAGGAAAGAATAGAAACCACACCAAAACAACATCACAGAAGAGGCAGAAAAAGAAAAGAGAGTAAAACGGAGACAATCTAACTAAGTGGAAAAATTAGTTACATTTTAACAGTCTAAATATTCTCCCTCAATGCAGAATTTGTTTGAATAGAGAAAAAGAAAGACCCAGCTGGGGACAGTGTAGAGTAGAAGAGCTGGGAGTGGGGCTGGAAGTGGATGCATGGGAGGAGTCATGCCTCAGTCCTTACATGCCTGTAAGCTAACGGTGGGTCACGACCTGTTTGGGTTCAAATGACCCTTTCACAGTGGTTGAATGTCAGGTATTTATATTATAAAAATTACAGTTATGAAATAGCAACAAAAACAATTTTATGGTTCGGTAGGTGACCACAGATGAGGAACTGTAGTAACAAAGTGTTGTGGCATTAGAAAGGTTAAAAACCTGGGATGTAAATTAATTGTATGTGTGTATGTATGTATGTATGTATGTATGTATGTATGTATGTATGTATGTATGTATACTGGTATGACATGATATTTGCTTTGCCAGGGAGGCAGCATAGCTACCAAGCAGACACCAATAGATGGTTCAAAATACCAGAACAAACATTGTCAGATAGAAAGGAAAAGTAGCAGTTCCTAAATTATTAGTGCTATTAAATTTCCCTCTCTCAGTAAGAGATAGAATAACTAACCAAAAGTCTGTGAGGAAACAGGCCATGAGCATAGTATTTGAAGAAGTTGACCTCAAGGCTCCTTGTAACATATCTCATCCCACAGTGTCAGCTCCAGTGATGGTAGCTTGTTCACCATGACATCAGTGACATTTACACATTGTTATCCAGAATGTGTGGCTTGTTCACCCAAGTGAGAGTAGTGCCCACACACCTTCATTCAGGGCATGTGGCCCATGCACCATGGTGACCATAGCATCTATACATCTTCCAGTGTGTTTTCACTATGTCAACCGTGATATCTTCACATTCTCCTCTGCTCTGTGTGACCTGCTGTGTGGTATCTCTGCGTCCTCCTCCAGAGCCTGTAGCGTGTTTCCCGTGAAAACTGGCATCTACAGTAAGCACCCATTTTCCTCCACTGATCACCATGGCAGCAGTGACATCCTATCTCATTGTATGTGGCCTATTCACCATGTTAATAATGGCATTCATATACCCTCCTTCACTGTGTATGTGGCTTGTTCACCAGGGCAACCACAGTATCCATACATCCCTCTTCACTGTGTGTGTGTAGCTTGTTTACCATCACAACATTGGTACCCTATATCCTTCATTGCCTGTGGCTTAGTCACTATGACAACAATGGCATTCATTCTTCAGTGTGTTTGGGCTCTTCACTAGGTATATGCCTAGTATACGAAAGACTGACTTAAACATTCAGCAAATTTGAGACCATGCGAGTATACTCTAGAACCACGAATAAATTAGATGAAAAGTTGACAACAATATTATAACCAAGATACCGTAAACACTGTGGACTTAACCACACACTTATAAATCATTCATGGAACAAGGAAGAAATCATAAAGGATCAGGAAGTACCTTAAGCAATACCAAAGAAAATATGACATACCAAAATTTTGTGGCTGCAGATACAGCAGGGCTGAGCAGGAAATTTATAGTTTCCAATCTTCCATTAGAAAGAAGAGAAAGATCTGAAATTTGGTGATCTAAAATACTACCCCAACAAGGTAGAAAAACAAAAGCTCAAGGTAGGCCCAAGGTAGCCACATGATCAAAATGATAAAAATCAGAGGAAAATGTTGAAAATTTTCTCCTCCACAGCAAAGCCAGTGGCTACAAACTCTGAGACTAAGAAAGAAGCGCTGAGGAGATGGCTCTGTGGGCAAAGGGCCTTGCCCTGCAAGCACAAGCTTGATCTCTAGGGCCCAAATAAAAGGGGAGAGAACCAATTCCTTGTTGACCTCTGACCTCCACACACATACCGTAACTTGTAGACCCCCCCACATTGTGAACATACAATAATGATAATATTCTAACTAAAAAGACTGTTTGAGAAGATTCATTCCCAGTCTTAAGAAACAGTTATTATTATGCACCCTGTAGATATATTGCAAGAATCAAAGGTATATATAGTGAATAATTGTATGCCAACAGATTCAGTAACTTGGGAAAATACATACATTCTTTGGGGAAAAATTGATACCTGAAGGCAACTGGAAAATCAATGCTCTCCAATAGAGTGGTTCTGGGTATATCAATCATACTCAAGGCAGCCTCTTATCTAAGAATATATTGTTGGTCAACACAAAATATCATGTTTTTGTTTGTTTGTTTGTTTGGTGGGGGTGAACTTTTTGTTTAATTTTGTTTTGGCATTTTTTTACAGCCTTATTGAAGTTGGGAGGGGAAAATTATGATCAAAATATATTTCACAGAGAAAAGAAAAGAAGATCTTGTGGGGCTTGATGGCACATACCTCCTCTGGGAGGCAGAGACAGGAGGATCTCTGAAAGTTCAAGATTAGCCTGGACTAAATTACAAGATGTTGTCTTAAACCAAAATACAGCCTTCTCAACCAACCAACCAACCAACCCAACCAGCCAACTAACCAATCAATTAACCAACCAATTAACCAACTATTAACCATCTAGCCAATTGAATTAACCAACCAACTAACCAACCAACTAAAACGAAACTAAACAAACTTATTGTGCTATGTCTAAAAATAATAAGTGCTGCCTCTCCTCAGTGTGGCTGGAGAACACATGCTTCCTACTGAACTCCGATACTCAGTGGGTTTGCTGGTAGATTATATATGCTTGTTCAGATGGTAAAGTGGGAGAGGTGGGCAGGAAAATTTTCCTCAGATTTGAGGCCAGTGAGATCTGATGTCAGAATCAGACACAGACATTGAAGAGGTCAGCAAAGTACTTGTAGTACTTTGCAACTACTCTCTAGTAATGTATATATAAATGAAGCCTTACACTTTATGGAAGTAAGACTGCTCTCAAAACTCAGGGCTGGTTTGTTATTCATATACAGTAGCAAAGTAGTTCAATATATCAGCACTGTGGACAACAGAGTGAGATCATTCATGGGATTCAGAAAAATCATCTAGTGTAAATAGCTTGCATTCATTCCCAAACTCAGCCAACCCTTGTCTCTTAAAGTCACCTGGGAAAAACTTGCCCCAGATGAATTTGAAGGGACATGTTTCTGTTTGTAGATGATGAGATGGGCTACACGAGAAATCCTGCAGAATCTAAGAATGTGTGTGTACATTTAAGAAGGTGCAGGATTCACACACAGACACACATTTTTATATTTGAGTGAAAACAGGAGACCACTGAGGGGGGAAAAAAAAAGAAAGAAAGAAGTCATTAAATGGCACAAATGCATCCCAGTCACAGCCCCAGAAGATTTTCTTCTTGTAAAAGTTGGAAAATTGGGGGCTGGAGAGATGGCTCAGTGGTTAAGGGCACTGACTGCTTTTCTAGAGCACCTGGGTTCAGTTCCCAGTACCCACATGGCATCTCACACCTGTCTATAACTACAAGATCTGACAACCTCACACAGACATGTATGCAGGCAAAAACACCAATGCACATAAAATAAAAATAAA